TCCCTTTCGTGCGCTCCAATCGATAAAAAAAAAATTCAATATAGGATACATCCTGATATTAACAATTCCAATAGCATAACAACACACAGCATAACACTAACAGTTTCTTGATTAAATAATATAGACAAATAAATATCAACTTTTTGTTCTTTTATCATAGCAAGTCTCTTTGTCTCAGGAACTCCTCAATACATTTTTTTAAATCTCACATTCTTTTATGCTCTGAGGAAGAGAAATATATTCTTTCAGTCCTTTATAAAACATTGAGTTCATACTAGTGATCGACCGATATGACTTTTTTAGCCGATACCGATAATCGGCCGATACCGATAATGTCTTGGCCGATAACGGTATATATCGGCATATCGGCCTTTTTTAATTGATAACATTCATTATTAATTATCATTGTCTAAAATCTCTAAAATCTGAATATTATACCATCGCGACTTTCTTGGATCCTCGCTTCAAAGACAATTTTTTTAGAAAAGGAAAAGACCGTGATTTTATATGCGAATACATAATTACGAATCTAAAGTCCCAAATAAAAGAAAACAATACATCTGTAGAACATTCCAGTTTCCCTGACATTTCGGATTACATTCAAGATTAAGACCATACAATAAATGAAACTATAGAAATTGATAGTGATGACAACAAAACACTTGCTAAGTATGTTCGAACTTCTGAACCTGAGACTAGTCGAACATCTGGCCAAAATCTGTTTTGGAAAATCTACGAAGACTTTGCCGGAGAAGGAATGAGCTCCACAAAAACAAAACGACAAAAACCATTCCAACAACATCTTCTTGTGACACAAAATCATCTTCTAGAGCATCCATTTGTGAAAAAGTGAATGCCGAAATTACAGAATATAAGAAACATCCTCTTCTCGAAAGAAAAGCGAATCCCATTTCTTGGTGGCAAGAAAAAAGAGAAGTTCTATTATTATATAATCAAGCTCTTATATATTTATCTGCACCAGTTGGCAGTGTTGCAAGTGAGCAAATGTTTTCAGAAGCTGGAACCGTAAATTGGGCGAAAAGGAATCGGCTGAATCCAGAAACAACCGAGACCCTTATTTTTTTACATGATAATTTGCCAAAACTACAGTATTCATCGAGGTATTCATATTAAATGTTATATCTACCTTATGCCTGCCTTATTTCAAATATTACTTTAAATTTACATATAAAAAAAATGTTTTAAGCTGCTATGGTTGTCTTTATTCATACATCGGCCGATATAGCCGATATACAGTCTGTCCAAGATAAGGTTGAACAGCATGGGGATCTCGAAAACGGTAAGAGATACGAAATTGGTTAAATGGGGAAAAAGTTGCGCATTCGGAGGCTCATATCAAGAGCCTTCGAAAATTTTGAAAATTATTTTTAGTTTTTGAGTTATATCGAAAAAAGTGAATTTTTGGAATTTCTATTTTATTTTTTTTTCTCCGTTATTATTAGAGATACAGCAAAACTAAGAATACTTTTTCATAGCAACTTTTGATGACGGTCAACGTGGTGATACCGATTTTTTCATGCGACGTTTCGTATTCGTGGAACCATTATCAACTTTTGTTTTTTAAATACGGTCCTGATAATTTTTTCACAGATTCTAAAAGGTTTTTTTATTCTGAATTTAACCATGTATTATACAAGGTGGTTCATTTGTGTTTCGACCTATTTCCATCCATCATCAATGTTTTTTCGAAACTCCAAAGGAAAAATGCCATCAGTTCCACTTATTTTGAAAGAAAATTAGTCAACACACTAATACCCCATCAACTGGTTTCAATCAACAACCCATTTCATTTTGCGGAAACAAAAATTCCATCCATACAAATAGAGAATCTGTCAAGCGCTAAAACCAGGAGATGACGAAAGGCGCAAGACATCCTGTGAGTGGTATACCAGGAAATGTTAAAATTTTGCAGATTTCTTTCGAACAATCATCTGGACTGATGAAAGCATGGTCACTAATCATGGTAGCTTCGATAGAAAAAATACACATTATTGTTCACGAGAAAATGAACATTTATACATTACAGCGAGACACCAACACCGTTTCGGCTTTAATATGTGGGTTGCGATATTTGGTACACGAATTATTGTTCCTTCTATTTACCATGAAACACAGACTTCCGAACATTATAGAAATTCGCTTGAGAATCATCTTGAGGAAGCTCTGGATGATTTACCGATTGCGGAAGTTCAGAACTGTTGGTTTCAACAAGATGGCGCTCCGGTACATAATTCCAGAGAAGTGCGTGCGTTTTTATCCCTTGGCCGGCGCGGTCGCCTGATTTGACACAGCTGGATTTTTTCTTAGGGGATATATCGAACTTTGTACACGCAAATAACTTTGAGCATGAAGAAGAACTAAGGGACAGTGTCTTCAAAGCATTCAATAGAATAACCCCAGAAATGCTTAGCAATGTCTTAGAAACAACTGTGAGAAGAGGATATCTTTGTTCAGAAAATAATGGTTATCATTTTGAACATTTGTTATGAATGTCTCTGTAGGTATTGTCAAAGTTAAGTTGTTAAAGTAATTCGTGTAAGAATTCATCAACAATTTTAAACGCTGCATTGATCGAATGATGTAGTGAAACATTTTTTATCAACTTTTCAGTATTGAATAACTAATCCATCAAGTTTGACACTAAATGATAAGAAATAAGTGGAACTGATGGCTGTTTTCTTTTGGAAGTTCGAAAAAACATTGATGATGGATAGAAATAGGTCGAAACACATTCGAATCACCTTGTATAGTACATTGTTGAATTCAGAATAAAAAAACCTTTCAGAATCTGTGAAAAAATTATCAGGACCGTATTTAAAAAACAAAAGTTGATGATGGTTCCACGAATACGAAACGTCGCATAAAAAAATCGGTATCACCACGTTAAACCTCATCAAAAGTTGCAATGAAAAAGTATTTTCAGTTTTTCTGTATCTCTGATAATAACGGAGAAAAAAAATAAAATAGAAATTCCAAAAATTCACTTTTTTCGATATAACTCAAAAACTAAAAATAATTTTCAAAATTTTCGAAGGCTCTTGATATGAGCCTCCGAATGCGCAACTTTTTCCCCATTTAAGCGACTTCGTATCTCCTACCGTTTCCGAGATCCCCATGCTGTTCAACCTTATCTTGGACAGACTGTATACTCACATCTATCGGCCGATACCGATAATCGGCCCTCGGCAAATATAGCCGATATATCGGCATCGGTATCGGTCAATCACTAGTTCATACCCCTATTTTGGAAAGCAAATCATTAGGAGATCTCGTTTGGTAATCATGAATTTCTGCACTAAAATCAACAAACTGATCTAGATAATCCAGCAATAAACCCTCCAATAGGTAGTTTGAAGATGAAAATCAATGCGAAAGATGCCAGTCTTTCCTCTACAGATTGCCATGGTAATGTTTATTTCAACATGTTAGGAATAGAGGTACGCCAGTTACATTTCAAAATTATTTGCATTCCCCTGTTGTGAAGTTTCTGTAATGATGACCCAGAGTTTATCCAATAAATACAGTATTATAGTGCAGTAATTGAAATGTGGCCAGATAATAGTATTGTACAGTTTGTACACTGTTATTTTCAAGGTTGTTTTAGTTTGGATGGGCAATACTGATGCCTTTCTTGAAAAGAAGAATAGTTTATTGGATATCTTATTTTTTATCATGTTGAAGTGTTTTTTAAATGACAGAGTTTCATCTAACCTAACACCTAAGTATAATGAGATTGTAACACCTTGAAAAACAATCAATACTTCCTAATAGGAACTTAACAAAAGTACAGCAACTTTTGACTTTTTTCCTATAGAGGCATTTTCAAGATAAAAATTGAAATCATGATTTTTTTCTTCATTTGAGATTCTGAATTCCTGACAAAATGCACATTGATACACATTTTTCACTTTAAAATAAAATAATGAATATGAAATAGTAGTTTGTTGGTATTATTCTGACTTGGTCTGTATATTATGATGAAACATAACCATTATATCAGATAAGGCAGCTGTTATCTGGAAATTTATAGAGATAAACATTTTATTCATATCCTTCATAGAAACCAAGAAGTAGGAATTTCCAATGAATGGGTAATAAGCAGAATCAGAAATACTATCAAAACTTTACAATAAATAACTGAAATATTCCAACTAAGCTTCCATGGAATGTATGATATGCTTTGGTAACTATTTTTGTTATCAATTGACAATGTGGAGATTATTTATACCTGGGATTTTACAATTTTTCCCACTTGACTCTTTACATTATGTATACAGCACGGTATACAGAGTTGCTCAAAATTATAACTCATCATTGAGAATTGGAGAACCATGAAAAATATGATTATGAAAACAGTTATAGGCTTTCCAATATGTAGAATAGGGGAATTCCATGTTAATTATGGTAAAAAAATATAGGGAGGTAGCATATAAGTACAAAAAATTTGAAGAAAGTATTCCTGAGAATACTATCATTTTTTTGACACCATATATGAAATAAAACTGAGTTTGCAGATTATTCCCTCTATACCTAACTCAAACCTCTATCTCTTGATGATATTGACTATGAAAACTAAAAGTAATTCACTGGAATTTTCATGTATTTCACAAATAGTATAGTATTGCTGTGCTTCACTTTAGTAGAACCAATTGAAATTCAACAAGATGGAATGTCACAGTATAACTCAGTTATACTGTCAATATAAGTAACTAAATTCACCATAGCAATGACTGTCATTAACTGTTGAAAATATAGTGAGCAATGGATCATTGGATGATATTAGCTTGATTAAATTACCTATATTTTAAATAAAGATGATTACCCTCAACCCTACCTATATTTTAAAATTATTGGAGGTTTGTCTTTCACTGTTTATTTTATTGCTGAGAACAAAAAAGAGACAACTCGGCATTAGGAACCAGAGTTCTGAGGATTACTTTTGAAAAAAATATCAGCAATATGATAAACCAAGTACTTACATGTTGCCTTTATCATCTGGTATAAGAGCAGTCCTCAACTCTTGGAAAAAATTGTTAGCAGTACTATGTGATTGAGGACTTGTTTTACAATCAATATTTTTCTGGGAATTTTGGCATGATGATTCCAACTCAAAGAGACTCTCTGGAGGAGTATATAATGGACTACAATTCAAGATCTTTTTTGGTAAAATATGTTTCATTGGTGCATGTTCAAGATCATTCAAGAGGTATTCTATGTCTACATCTGGAGACAAAAATGTCAAGTCATCAATGATTTCTTCTCCAGGATCCTCTGTTTGCACACCACATTCAGCAACATTGTTTCTGGCATTGACATTATTACTGTACCAGCTGATGTCTGTTTGGCAAGATTTATCACTTGATGCTGATTCACCATCATTAGTATTATCAAGTTTCACTGAATAATTTGTCAAATCCAAGGCTCCTACATGTTGATCATCACTAGTAATAGTACTGCTTGATCTACAGGAAATTTGTTTTCCTAAATAGCTAAAGCTATCTGCTTCACACATACTTGTTTGTGTGTATGGCTTGATAGTCATATTACTACTATCTGGGGATTTCACACTGTGTACTTCACTACTTATTATCAAGGATTTTTGTGATAAGCTGTTTAGGTTTATTATCTTCTTATTTACTGATATAGTTGCAGAATCCACATTTGTTTTGTCCAAGATCAGAGAGGTGTAATGTGATTTGGGAAGAGGAAATCCTCTAATTATTTTGAACTTAATAGGTTGTGGGCCAGCAGACATATTGTGACTAATGTTCTGTTCTGTTTTGGGAATCACAGGAGTTTTGGATTCTGGTATCTTGATTTTTCTTCCATTCAGATTGATGAATTTATCTCCAGTCTGAGGATCAACCTCAACCTTCAAGACTTTATTCTTCATACTTAAAGGAGTTCTTACCTTTTCTTCTAGCATATTGTTACAAATAACGGGTATGGAGTCTTTGAAGCCAAGAAGAAAGTATTTTTTATTGTCTGCAACTTCAGAGTCAGTACAATATAAAGTTTCTGAGTGGTATGGATATTCAATGAGGCATTCATTGAGTTCCATTTCTTCTGAGCATAGCTGGAAAAAATTGATTATAGGATAATTTTTCTGAACATCACACTCACAAACAGAACGAATATAATATACTTTTATAAATAGAATATCACATGGTAATGAGATACCATTTGTTTAGAGAACAGAACTTAAATCATGAAATAATATGAATAAATATTGTAAATTGACGACGTGAAAAAGTACCACTGTGATAGATGAAATCCAGAGGAATATGAAATTGAAATTTATTAAATAATTCGGGTAATCCCCTTTCTTTGCAATCGAATGACATGTTATTTTTGTGATGCACAGAGATGCACAGAGCAGTCAGAGCACAAAACACAGTACAGAACGTGACAGAAATGACAATGATAATAATTAGAGTAAACACTGGAATGATTGCCAAATTGTACCTGAACTGAGAGCGCTGGAATTCAACAAATCGTTGATTGCCCTATGCTCTCCCCTCTTTTTTTGCCTAGTTCATGAAATAGAGCTATGATATTTTTTGAATGTGTTCAAGTTCAGGCTATTTGTTTTATCTGAGATGTTTATAAGTTGACGGCATCTTAGTTTTATCGATCAATCTTGTTCATTTAGGAACTGTGATTTATTTAAACACATGTTTCATGTTCTATTTGTTCTATGAATTCTATGCTTCCTAACATTTGACACTTGATCCTAACCTCAACTTTAACCTCTTTGCCAGTCTTTGCTTTGACAACAAAAATAAAAATAATAATTTTGTAATTCACTAGTAATGTTGTTATTATAAGTAATATCTCATTTAATAACTAATTCATAAATAATAACACACACAACATACAACCCTTGAACATCATCATCATGACTGAAACAACTCAAATTCCTTTGAAATCTAAAGACTTCTACAGAACTATTTTCAATAAGGTATGTACGACTGCTAGCCTGAAGAGGCATCTGAAATTACTCTAACATTTTTCAACTTTCAGTATGATAGAAATAAAGATGGGTTAATTAGTTTGAACGAATTAATTGAACTCATAGAAAGTCGGGAGTATGAAGAAGACATTCCCCAGTATTGTGTGAGAAAAATCCTCAAATTGCATGACTATAATGAAGATCAACAGCTAAATTTCGAGGAATTCCACGAAATGATCAATAATCCTGATCTGCAATATGTTTTTGGCCACTATATAAATAGGTACCTATAAACTCTAGATCTTCCTTCAAACACTCATCTCCTTAGAAAAATCTGAGGAACCATGACTTTTTATCAAAGGTGCTGGAAAATAAAAAATCTGGAAACTTCAATGCACCATAGGTTATAGGAAAAAAATAATCTTATTTTGACCTGAAAAATAAGCTTCTAATCCTGGTACTGAATTTGGAAACACCCTGTTATGTATATAATATTATGCATGGTGGCCAGGATGTTTGGGGTCATTATACATGGTGTGTATAATCTGAGGTATAATCTACCTCAATGTGTTTTTTCTGTCCTGTTCTCTTGCAGAAGGAGACATTTTCTGTGAAATTTGTTTATATCTACTTCAAAGTTGGGAACCAACTCTCCAGAAGTTGAAACATGTGCTGGGTTAGCTAGAGTGGGACCTACAGCTTATAGTGGAATCTGAACCACTTCTAGGGCATTGAGGTGCTGCCAGGATTATAACCATGAATCACATATTTTTAAGAAAAGTGCTCAGCTATGCTGGATTTGAACCAACAATACCTCTGCATTGTGAACAGCTAGTTAGTGAATTTCAGTGCATCGACAATGTTGCTGCTGAGGTTAAATGCTGTATAGTTAACTGAAATTATTTTAGGACTTGACAAATTATGTCATCAATTATTCAAGGAGCAATTCAATGATGAAGTTTTCTTTATTGAGATTTTTATTTCTCCCTGGAGGTTATGAAAAATCAATATAGGGGATGGTGGTGTATAGGTACAGGAATGATTTTTTCATTCCTCTTCTGATGAATTAATTTTTCAACTTGGAGTTTTGAGACTTCTACACAAGATTTGAGTTAGTATCCTGTTATGAAAATGAATTAGTCTGACCATTTATTATTGAAAAACACATGTCCCTGTCCCTGTATACACCATGTACCCCTTTATGAACCACCCCATGGTAACTAGAGGGATAAAAGCTGACCCATTAATTACTGCTATGAACATATTTATTGAAGACAGCTGCAAAATTCAATATCAAGATAGATATTTCAAAACGATTACCTCAACTCAACAACTACTAGAAAAAACCAATGATGATGGTATATGTATAGTGGGACTGTCCCAATGTCCCTCTATACACCATATGTATGGTACAAGGGTGTCGCGTCAATTGGACGTGGAAAATTGGACGCACGACTATTGGTCGCAGTCAATTGGACGCGGCGACAATTGGACGCGGCGACAATTAGACGCGGCGTCAATTAGACGCGGCGACAATTCGACGCGGCGACAATTCGACGCGGCGACAATTGGACGCGGCGACAATTCGACGCGGCGACAATTGGACGCATGCGTAAATAAAAATAATTTTATAATTCCAATGAAATTCATTGTATAAAATATGAAATACTGATGGGCTTATATCCATAATTATAACAAATACCTATGGCCTCGTTTGACAATTATTTTCCTATCTCATATCGTAATATGAATTTACGATACGAATATAGTACAATATTTTAGGTTAGTTAGGTTAGGTTAGGTATTTGTTATATTATAGATATGAGCCCTGCATATTCCATGCAATAAATTTCATTGGAATTATAAAATTATTTTTATTTTCGCATGCGCTCAATTGTCGCCGCGTCCAATTTTCGTCGCGTCCAATTGTCGCCGCGTCCAATTGTCGCCGCGTCCAATTATCCGCGTCCAATTTTCGTGCGTCAGTCCAATTGTCGGTAATCCTGGTACAAGATAATATTGGAAGACAATAAAATATTCTAAAACATACTTCATTACATGAATACATTTCTTTAGTACACTACGGGCAGAAACAACAACAAATACCCAGAAAGTTGGCACATTAATAAGAAGCAGCACAGAATTTAAATGGAAGAATAAAATAATTTTCTTTATGCAATGTGAGGTGATGTAGTTATGGATGAGGTTATGGATACTAAAGGAGCTAGCAAAGCCATTCACCAATTTCAACATGAGACACATCTATCAATTTTAGACATCTATCTGATTGTATTCAAAAAGCTATTTTACATCTGTTTCAACAAAAAAATCTTCCAAAAATTCTTCCTGAAGCTTTAAGTTGGAATTTGAATTAAATTGATAAGAGGGTGAGAGAGGGGTGGAATATCAGGTGGAATGGATGCTACGAAATCAGACAACTATCTGATCATATTCAGGAAGCTATTTCACATCTGTTTCAAGAAAAAAAGCTTCTGAAAATTGTTCCTAAAGCTCTAAGTTGGAATTTGAATTGAATTGATAAGAGGGTGAAAGAGAGGGGAAATAGATGCCACAAAATAAGACAACTATCTGATCGTATTCAGCAAGCTATTTTACATCTGTTTCAAGAAGAAAATCTTCCAAAAATTGTTTCTTAAGCTTTAGGTTGGAATTTGAATTAAATTGATAAGAGTGAAAGAGGGGGGGAAATAGATGCCACAAAATAAGACAACTATCTGATCGTATTCAGCAAGCTATTTTACATCTGTTTCAAGAAGAAAATCTTCCAAAAATTGTTTCTTAAGCTTTAGGTTGGAATTTGAATTAAATTGATAAGAGTGAAAGAGGGGGGGAAATAGATGCCACAAAATAAGACAACTATCTGATCGTATTCAGCAAGCTATTTTACATCTGTTTCAAGAAGAAAATCTTCAAAAAATTGTTTCTTAAGCTTCAAGTTGGAATTTGAATTAAATTGATAAGAGGGTGAAAGAGGGGGGAAATAGATGCCACAAAATAAGACAACTATCTGATCGTATTCAGCAAGCTATTTTACATCTGTTTCAACAAAAAAATTCTTTCTGAAGCTCTAAGTTGGAATTTGAGTTAAATTGATAATAGGTTGAAATAGGGGTGAAACGGATGCTACAAAATCAGACAACTATCTGATCCTAATCAAAAAGCTATTTTACATCTGTTTCAAGAAAATAATCTTCCAAAAATTTTTCCTGAAGCTATAAGTTGGAATTTGAATTAAATTGATAAGAGGGTGAGAGAGGGGTGGAATGGATGCTATGAAATCAGACAACTATCTGATCGTATTCAGGAAGCTATTTTACATGTGTTTCAAGAAAAAAATCTTCCAAAAATTGTTTATAAAGCTCTAAGTTGGAATTTGAATTGAATTGATAAGAGGGTGAAAGAGGGGGGAAATGGATGCCACAAAATCAGACAATTATCTGATTGTATTCAGCTTCTGTTTCGAGAAGAAAATCTCCAAAAAATTGTTTCTTAAGCTTTAAGTTGGAATTTGAATTAAATTGATAAGAGGGTGAAAGATGGGTGAAATGGTTGCTACAAAATCAGACAACTATCTGAACGTATTCAGGAAGCTATTTTACATCTGTTTCAAGAAAAAAATCTCCGAAAAATTGTTTCTAAAGCTCTAAGCTGGAATTTGAATTGATTTGATGAGAGGGTGAAAGAGGGGTGGAATGGATGCTACAAAATCAGACAACCATCTGATCGTATTCATGAAACTATTTAACATCTGTTTCAAGAAAAAAATCTTCCAAAAATTGTTAAAGCTCTAAGTTGGAATTTGAATTGAATTGATAAGAGGGTGAAAGAGGGGGGAAATGGATGCCACAAAATAAGACATATACCAAAGAAGGGAAGATTTGTATTTCGTGCAAGAAATTTATTCAAAAAATTCGTAGCAGAGCGCTTTCGACTGTTAGGTCATCATCAGTGCCTACCTCTCAGTAAAAAATTGTAAAAAAAAAATTTAAAAAACTTTTTCAAATATATTTTTTCAAAAATTTTTTCGAATTTTATTTTTAGAATTTTCAATTACAATTTCTTTCCAATAGCAAAAAGCAGATTACTTACTTACAGGTACGCACT